GCTCCTGATGTTGCCGTATATCCAAACACAGCACTTGTTCCAAGACCTGTTAATTCAATCATAGTACCTCGTCCTCCCAGTGATGTAGATGTATGTTGAGTTTTGTGTTTTATTGTATTTTGCTTTATATGTGATTTTATTATTATTATTATTATTATTATTATGGTTTATGTAGGGAAATCCACATGCACGGATAGTGTGTGAGGTAGCAGTGAGCCAAAACGTTGGTCGTCTGAAAGAAAGGTGCTTGACTTGGATGTGCCAACAATATGTTCGTGCTGTTATAAGTATCAAAATTTTAGATCCAAGAGCAGGGATTCGAGAACCTGGAACAGGTTATTTTTATAGAACAATGATGGTATATCATCCAATAATACCAAGCTAAGCATTGCATCTTTTTGTATCTAATTGGTCTGTTCTTTTAAATGATAGGCGAAACTTTATCGTCAAGGAATGGAAAAACAAGAATGGGATTTTGGAAATGTTATAAAAAATTCAAGAGATCCTATCAATGAACCTGCTCCTTGCAATGCACCAAACTTGCCAAATTTTCAGATAAATATTCCCATAGGTGAAGTATTTTGGGACCCGACATTTCCCATCCCCCCTGCAATTACAGCCAACAATTTTACTATTGACTTGTACTGGATACAACGAGTAGCTTTAAAATCTAAAATATGAACAAATTCTGGTGTTTATTGTTATAAAACCGTATATACATAATTGCTAAAAATAAATACAAATAGGTTGACATTTTTTACTGCTTTATATTTTAATTACTGTATTTTCATAATGCATAAGTTTCCTCATATCGTTTATAAGTCTACTTGAAATTTCGTTCTGTATATGTATAAAGAATTTTTTTTCTTACAGAAGGATCAAGTAAGTGTCCAACAGGATAAAAATGTGCGAAATAGCTGTATTAACCAGTAATAATTTACTTTAAATAGCAAGAAAGAATATTAAGCATTGGTAGAACACCATGTTAGAATTAAAAAAAGAGCTAAGACGTTAGAAGAAGAAACAAATGGAAGCGTAAAAAACAAAGAAATTAATTTTTGTTTCATGGAACATTTGGAATTAATTTCTAATTCGTATAACAAAATTTCTACTTGCGGGAACAAACAATTTGTTATTAATTTATTAACATACAATGAATCAAAATCGAGAGAAATTAACAAATTTTACAAAGAATAAATTAATTGTAATAGCTCTAGAAGGAAAACCTGTTAAATACATATTAATATGAAATAGAATTTGTCTTTCCATATGTTTTCCATAAATCCCGTGTGTATTATTATTATTATTATGTAATTATGTATTTGGAAACGTGCCCATCAGGTTTATAATTTATTCGCAAATTCAATACAACTTTTAACAAATTTGGTGTCCTTTTTGAATCTTCTTGTTATAACAATAAAAATTAATAAAGTTATTTTGCATCACAAAATTTATCGCATCAATTTTTTATAGAAAATTCGTTTATTTTCAACAAGTATTATATATAAATAAATAAATAAATAAATAGTAGTGATTTAATAAAATATTTGAATGTAAATATATCAATCATTATTTTTCTTTGTCTTTATGATGATGGATTTATCTTTTGATAAGATGATTTATTTGACTGATCTATCAAACTAACATCGACAACATGGTCTTTAAGAAATGTTTCCAATGCTTCAATCCTTTCCTCGGGAGTCCCTTCCTTTTTAAAAAATGGTGCTGACATCAATTTATTACGTGTTTCATTTTTAAGGATCCTTTCTTGTATAAATCCCCATGGTTTAATCGAATCAGAACCTAAAATAATTAATGAAGATGGTTTGATAAGATGAATACTATGTGATATATATATATATATATATATATATAATGCAATAATTAACATATAATTACCAAATAAAAATATGTAAAATGCTGTCAATCCTCCCCATACAGCAAGTACATTTGAAATAAGAGACAGAGCCTGATTGATACAATTGACAAAGTTAATGAAATGATTAATGATAATTATAATGGCAATGATTAATTGATATGCTTACATTTTTATTTCTATATTAAAAAAAAAATGATTATTATTAGAAATTAAGAATTATTATTTTGATCCGATTTGATCGTACAATCTACTTACCTTTGTTCAACCTCAGTTTCAAGCAAAAAACTCTGAGGAGTTATGATGAACTTCGAAGATTTTGTATTCTCTGCTGTTCCTATCGAACCTAAATAAATTAATTCATTTACTGATTTGTTTATTTGTGCATTCATAATAATAATAAAATTTTTATAACTTACGATCATTTGTCACAACATAAGGTTGCTCTGGATACTTTTGTGGAAGTCCCAAATCATTTAGAGGTGAATCTTTTAACACAGTCCTTTTTTTTCTTGATGATGCCAAAGCATAATCCTAAAATATATCATTCGTAGTTATTTAATAATTAATAATAACATCACTTACATTTAAACAACTTACATTTCCTATACTATGTAAAACATCTTCTTGAAGCGATTTGACAAAAGTTGAATAATCATCAGTTCCATTAGCAAGTGTATCATTAAATGGATCATATTCTAATAAAAAAAAAGAACAATCAATCAATCAATCAATCAATCAATCAATCAATCAGTTAATATTCAAAATAAATAAATTATTTTTTACCTTGATCACGCATAGAAACAGACAAATAGATAGAACTATGACTAGTAGCATTATAACTTGGATCCGTAATCTCGACAATCAAAATTAATGAATTTATATCTCCTTGATTTTGAGTCTTGTTAACATCACCAATGACAAATGATAAATTATCTGGTAAAAAACTTCCTTTCAAAAATATACCGTTGCTATCATAAGTAGGTTGATTTACATATTCATTATTTGTACCTAAATTGATTAATTAATTGATATAAATGATACAATATATGTATAGTGCACCACATATAATATAATTTTACCATCTACACCGCTATCTATGTTATTGTAGTAGTAGTGACATGTTATATTATATTGATATATAGATTTCATGTAAACAACTATACAATGATATTATGCAGTTGAAAGTCATTACTCAACATTCTTACATATGACAAACTAATTCATCAGTCAATTAGCTTCACCTGGTACAGGGAACTTATCCATTTGAGAATACTTTCTTGTAATAGTTGGTGTATCATTATTTACTCCGATTGATAATATGACAAGAACAACTAATGCTATTAATACAAATAATATAACAACAAACTTTCTGAATATCACAACTGAGACTGGTTCTGATTTACGTGGTCTCTTACTTAACAAAATTTCCAACATCTTTTTTTTAAAAGAAAAGTTTTTAGATGTTGGAATCGACTAAAATAGTCGACTATTTTAATCGACTAATTAGTCGACTATTTTAGTCAACTAAAACTTTTTTTGAACAACGATCTTAGTCGACTATTTTAATTGACTATTTAGTCGACTATTTTAATTGACTATTTAGTCGACTATTTTAATTGACTAATTAGTCGACTAATAATAATAATAATAATACTAATACTAATACTAATACTAATACTAATACTAATACTAATACTAATATTATTATTGTCTGATCAATTACGATTTTTGTGTTTTATCATTCAAAATGGAGAATTTCTATGTGGAAGAGTATCAATACCATCAATATGATAATGACGACAATAGTAGTGTGTTGTTGATGATAATTTTACATGTGAACTAATAAAACACTTCCAATACAAGGTCCAATAGTTCATTGGCTTCAAGTTCCAATGATTTAAGCGATGGTTCCAGAAGACCTTTTAAAAAAACGAATCGTAACACATGGTTTTGTGTGGAAGTATTTTGAAAAAGTGAAAGATTCAAATGGAAATGAATTCGTAATTTGCAAATTAAAAAAAAAAAAAGAAATATTATTGTTATTTGTTGTAAAAAAAAATTTAGTCGACTAAGGATTTTTTGGACGATTCCAACCTCTAGATTTATCTAAACTTTGATTGCTTGAATTTCTTCTTCTACTACTTGAGCAGTTTCCGGTTTATCCAAAGTTTTCTTCTTCTGATCGATTAGTAATCGTTTCAACTAAATTCGAACCATTTGGTCTTTCAACTTGTTCAGTAGATTTATCTAGATTTTGATTATTTGTACCCATTGAAATTCTATATTAGGGATATTTTCTGTAATCAAAGGAGAAGATTCACGATTTTATATTATCTTAAGTGTTTAAAGTTCATTGATTTCTTTGGCCTTTTAAGCAGTTCTAACGATTTATGGGTTCTATATAGATGATTTAGTTGATTTATTAATGGATGCAGCAAGAATTTGCTTCATTGTCTTTTGAAATTATTTTCATCATTTTGTTCAATATTTGAATCATTAAAAATTGATCCACAAACCTTCACGTAGCTCTTCGACCAATCTAAACAATTTTATAATTATTAAAAGAAGAATAAGGACTTATTTATTATCTACGAGAATATATACTTATATTACGTAGTGGTTGTATCCGCCGAATGATATTCACCGATTATCCGGTGAATCGGGTGTTGAAAATTTTTCAATGATTAATTAGTCGGGTGTTGAAAATTTTCACCGGATAATAAAATGATTTGAGTCATGTGATTTTATACTCCCGTGACATCAAAGAGTATCATTGGCAAAGTGACGCAGCATTTGATGGCGCGCACTATAGTATGGTTAGATAATTCGATTAGAGAGCTTTCTAGGAATCGGAAAACAGCCATTTTAACTTTCCTCGAAATAGACAAAGAAACATATGGTAATTTTTTAATGTGTTTCTAATAGAAAGATTCGTCTTCAATTGAAAAGATCCACCTGTAAATGTTAGGTAGATTCGATGACTTGTCACATTACGCACTGTATTAAGATTATTTAATATTAACTATTAATTATTTTGATATTACTCTTTCAACACAGAAGCAAACCTCTGTAATCGGATGATAACTTGGAGTTGGTGAGTAAATATGTGGCGAAGATTGTATTTTTTATATTTAATTGTTTGCTAAATCATTTTTACACGACATCACTTTTTACTGCATACTGATACTGATCTTATTATTATATTAGATGATTTAATTTGAAACAAAAACATATTGGAATTGGTGACAAAGATTGTAAACTTTATACAGTATAACCCTCGTTTCAACGGAGTGACTGGACATATAATAATAAGTAATTTTCATATAAAATCCGTTGAAACGAAATTACTAATACCAATCACGTTTCAACAGATTTTATAACAAAGATTTTAACGCAAATTTAATTATAATCCGTTGAAACAGGGGTTATACTGTATTAAACTGTTTATTAAATCATTTTTTCATTTCTTATGTTTAATATTTATTAAATAGCTTTTACATAACATTGTTTTTTAACAGATATTATTTTGTTATATTTTTAGATGATCCAATATATCCAAACATCAAGCATTCAATTAAAGGGTTGGCAGATAAATATGAGGCGAGGAATTAATTTGTTTTACATGTTCATACCATACATAAGTCGAGATGGTCAAATTATGTCATGACAAGAAGATTGTTTTAAACTATATATATTAATATATCAAAATTATTATTAATTCACATAGATAAAAAAGTAAAAATGGACCCAAAAAAACATTATTAGAAGAAAAGAAAAGAGGTTGCCAAAAGAATTTGTAGAAAATCCACAATATATTGATAATTTTGTATTTGGTAATTTAGATTTAGTAGCGAAAACCTTATTATCTATTACTATCACATTACACACACACAAATCATTTAATTTCATTTTTAAGAACGGATATATAATTACTATTTATCAAATAGTTGTCAATACAGAATATTTTAATAATGAAAATAAATGGTTTTGTTTATTTTCTTTCAATTTTATATGATACAATAAAAATAAATTACATAAAATGGATTATAATAATATATAAAAACAGATACATGTACATATATATATATATATTTCTTCATGAGAATTAATTACCACCAGTACCAGCAAGGGTCAATTCACGTGCAGCAGCATTTCTTTTAACTGAAGCTGCCCAACCACTCAAATCAGCATTTATTCTTCTACCGAGTGTACCAAGTGCAGTTTGTAAATTGACAGCAACTTCCTGGAATTTTTGATCGGTTGCTTGACTAGATGATACTCTAAGCGCTATCAAAAATGCTCTTCTTAATGTTTCTCCTACTTGAATTAAAGTCTGAGCATCGGTTCTAATTGCTGGGTTTCTTTCCAAGTTGAACACATCAACAAGTACATCATACATAAATCCACTGAATACCTATTAAAAATAATTTTTAAAAAAAAAATTAATAATCATCATACATACGTACGTATATATATATATATTAATTAATTAATTAATTATTATTTATTACCAAAGACATTGCATGTACTTCAGTTCCAGCTGTCGAACCTCTTATATCATTTATTAAGTTTCTTAAACCTTTGCCCTTATTCTTGTACAAATAGTCCCCAAATTCTTCACCAACAGCTGATAAGAAATTATTAGTGTCTCTGAGATTTGATTTTGTAAGAGTGATCAAATTATCTACCAAATCTGGCATTGAAATAATGACAAACATTGAACACAAATCACCGAACGCTTCGTGAAGAGCTCCGGTCTGACCATCAGACAACCAACCCTGTTGTATTGTATCAAGGAAGGAGTGACCTGTCTCATGAGCCACAACATCAAGTGATCGACAAAGATATATTGGAGTTTGTCCTGGTCTTGGTTCATAGAAGAATTTCAACACTCCCTCCTCTCTACTATAAAATGCGTTAGCATCGACTCCAGCATGTGGGTGTATTACTAATTTTTTGTTTCCCCATGGTCTAGGAAGAATTGGTGGTTTGCCATCAAGATACTCGATATCACCTTTGAGTAAACCGTACGTATATTTGACAACAGAGAAAGTGTGCACAACATCAAATTTGACTTGTGGAGGTGATGGTGGTGGGGTTTGAGAATTGTCTTCAATAAAATCTAATAGGATATCACCATTTGCATCTGGAGCAATTGGTCCAGAAGTTGAACTGGTGGTGAACAATGAATCGGTTGGACCGGTGGTGATATCGGATCCTGGAAAGTAAAGCGCTCTGATACCGATTGATTTAACGAAAGGATCGGCTTTCCATATATTTACTCTTGTACCTTTACCAACTGGTGGGGCTGCAGAAACCAAGGCTGTTTGATGTAATCTTGATGCTAAATATTGTGCACTCCTACATTATTATTACATAAATACGGGAATATGTGTGCGGTTAGGAAGAGAACATGACAAAATTAAATAATCCATTAGTTATAAATGTTTAACTACCTTGGGTAAATGTTTTGATCATAATCAAATAATGCATAGACTAATTTTCTTGGATCTTTTAAATCGTAATTTGCAGTAGCAGATCCATTCTTTGACGGATCAATTTGAAGGTATTTTCCATTATTACCAATGATAACAGATTTCTCAAAAAAATCTATCAAAATAATTATAATAATTATTGTTAAAATTGCTAATAATAATAATAATAATAATAATAATAATATCCAACATAACCATTAATCACACAAAAACATATATATATTACCAGGATGAGGAACAAATGTAAATAATTGTTCAGATTTAGGAACAATTCCATCATGAGTTGTTTCTCCACTTGTAAATGATAAATCACCATGTTGATCGTTGGTGAGTGTTAAAAATTGACCTGATGAATTTCTCCATGCGACCAATGGTAAGGTGACTGATGGAGAGAAGGAGGGGGGAGGGAGGGAGGAAATGAAAATGAAAATTAATATTTATTTTTAATGATGATAATAAAAAATATTTTATATCCATCTAATTATTATATACCTAATCTTAAATCTTTAAGAATTGAAGGGTATTCGATATTCACATTATCTCTTGTATAACCAATAGAATGATTATAGGTCAGTTTGTCTTCGACAATAAATACAGCTGAACGATCCCAACTATTTTGTGCACTATATAAATCAAACAATCGTATATAAGTATGTGCACATACACACAAATTAATTTATATAATATAGATAATAAACAGAATATAAAATTTACATACGTTTGACTAGTGTGAATTTTATTTCCATCGTAAATTCCAAGATAAGATTTATATTTTTTATTGTACAACGAATAATAATTACCATAGTTTTCTAACAACATGATAAAGTTCACGTGGTTAGTTAAAATATTATGATCACATGGCTTCGACAAATCATGTTGCATAAAGAATAAACAAACAAATACCAATTCTCCATTGTTGAGCAGGATTACTAAGATCGT